GACAAAACTGTGTTGATTTTTTGATAACTGAAGTAAGCAAATGCTAGATTATGTGTTCTTATATAATTTTAAATAAAATCTTGTCATTGATTGCATGAAATTTATCTAGATTGAGATTTGTATTTACTGGGTTCTTGAGGAATGTTTTTTGTATTCTTCATAATTTTTTTATACTAAACAACTATCATAGATAAATATTGTATTTTATACTTTTAAAATAAAACTTTACCACATGTAATCTTGAATAAGATATTTAACTCTAGGAATGAATAGGAATGAATTTTTTTCATTAAATGAAATGAAAAAAAAAAGAAATTTTAAAGATTAAAAAAAGGTGATATTTGTTGGGAATAATATAATATAATGAAAATAGTCAATGATTGAAATCTTATATAAATCGAATATATCACTTATATGCATGAATCAATTCCTTTTAATGAATTAGATATGGAACTGAATGGGATAGATATCTACAAATGTTTTGTGAGAAAGTCTTTTCGTTTATCTGTGATTTTTACTAAAACAAAATATATAAAGTCGAATTCCACTGGAATTTTCTTGAGTGATAGCAATTTTTTTTCTTTATGACCAAATAGACGTTTTTCAAAAGGCCTAAATGATGTAACATACATCATTTATATTAAAAAAATATAGAAACGATAATTATAAAATAGTAGTTACGTGACCAGTGCTCTACTGTAGGTTAAATAATTTTATTTTTTATAAAAAATATATATATAGATTTTTTGATGTATTTTTATAGTTCAAAAAATATAACAAATAACAATGTTTATGTACATATGTAATCAAATAAACAAAAAGTTATATACTCTGATAAATAAGTAAAAAATATTAATGGCACCTAAAAATAAAATTTAAAAAACAGAAATACAAATATAAATTAAAATATTTAATCTAGAAAAAATAAGACATTAAATTGATTAAATAAAATAGAAAGAAAAAATAAATAACTTATAAGGCTATATATATTAAAAATATCATCTGAAAATAAATAAAAATTTTATTTTTAAAAATATAATTTATCTGTATAAAAGATAAAAACAAAATCATAGATGACCCAAAAAAATCCCTCCAAAAATTTAAACATATGGGTGAACATGTCATCTTGTGTATAACATTCTAATTTTTTAAACATATGAAAAATATATTAGTTTCAATAAATATTTTAGTATTATCATTAAATCTAAAAATAAAATTATTTTGAAGTTTTTTTTTAAGTCAAGATAAAATTTTCTAATAATGTATCTCTTGTTTATCTTAACCGTACCAATATCTTTAACTAAAATTATTATTTATGTTTAGAAAGAATATTTTATGATTGTTAAATTAAGTTAAGTTGAATGAATTTTTTTTTAATATTTTTATTTAATTATATAATAATAAAAATATATGTTTGTAGTAGAGCAACCAAATAAAATTTTAAAAATAGATTAGGATGGGTTGTATAAAAAAAAAGTTGCTAATATTAAAAAAAAAAATCTTATTAAAAACAAAATTTAAAGTTGAATGTATTAAATAAAATAATATCTAAATATATCATTAATTAATTTAAAATTTTAATAAAATAATATATCTAATATATATCTAATTAATTAATTTTTAAGAAATTCCATCTAAATTGTTGGAAAAAGATTATAGAAAGGGTAAAGTGCCATGACATTTAAAAATAAACTTAGGTATGCATGTCTAGGCTCTTTAAAAAAAAAAAAAACCAGCTAAATGATATATCATTTATTTATTATTTTCTAAGAAACAGGCAGATGATACTTTGTCTTCATGCCTCGAGTATCCTGATCATCAAAGATGTGGCTTTAAAATTAGGGTGACATTCGTTTCCCTAGAAATCTATTTTGAGACACATTTTCATTTAAAACTATCTAATAAATATTTTTAAATTCTTTAAAAACCAATTTATGAATCCATAAAAAAACAAAACACCATAAAAGTTTAAAATACAAGATTAAACCAAGAAAAAAGATACTTCCTAACTCTGATATCTTTTTTCTACTATATCAAGGTAAAAAAACACATGAATGAAAATTTTTTGTGTAAAGAAAACTTATTGAAAGTAAAATTAATTTTTTTTGTTATAAAAATGTGATCAAGGAATGACTTTTTTTATCATTTTTTTCTGATGATTTTCTCTTTCATCTCTTCAATTTAGGAACTAAAATAAAATAAAAAATTTAAGCAAACTAAATGTACCAAAAATAAAAGTAAAAAAAATTTATAAGAAAAATTATTCAAAAAAATGCATGGCTTAAACAATAAATAAATAAATATATCATTGCATTCTTTAAAGGTTTCTTGTAATACAAGATCAAATGTTTTTATTTGTGTTTATTTTTTAACTTTATAATTTATTTTTTAGTTAATATTAATTTTTTTTTAATATTTATTGACACATATAATTTTAAATTAATTTTTTTAAATATATGCATCAAATATTTGGTTAATCATTAAAGAATTTCTTATTTCTTAAGAGTTTTTAGGTAAATTTCGCAACGTTTACTCGAGGGAAGCGTGTAGAAAGTGACTAATTGAAATGCCGCGGAGTTTACCATTTGCTTGACCCATGAACCTCGTTCATGTTTCCCATCTAGTTTAAAGGCTTCTCGTAATATAATTTGTATGTATTAGAATTTAATTCATGATTAAAAAATTTCTTGTTGCTAAAAAAACATATTACTAATTAATAATGCTTGAATATTGTATTTATTTATTTTAATTTAGGTCGCAATGTGCCACCATAAATTTCCACCGCTGGGCCAATGCCTTGGGTGCATAAATCTTGTTTTTACGAGAGATGAGAGATTTGTTTTGGGTCAATTCTTGTTTTTATGAGAGATGAGAGATTTGTTTTGGGTCAATTGCTCAACGTTTACTGGAGGGAAGCGTGTGGAAAGTGTATAGTTGAAATGACTTGGAGTTTGCGGTTTGCTTGACCTATGAATCTTGTTCATATTCTCCATCTAGACTAAAGGCTTCTCGTAATATAATTTAATTTATTTGTATTAGAATTTAAATTCATGATTATAATTTATCTTGCTTCTAAAATAAACAAGTTAATAATATTTAAATACTTTTTTATATTTAAAAAAAAATTATTTTACCTACGTGATATAATACCAATCAATAGTCATATTATTCTATCACAAATATTGTTTTTACAATGTAAGAGGAAATTACCAAAGGCCAATTGCATAACGTTTACTGGAGGGAGATGGTAGAAAGTATATTATAATATTTATTCTTAATTATACGTGTTCTCTCTTAATATTCAAAGACTCAAAATTGAAAAACAAAATGAAACTTGGTATCAAAATATAATTCTTCAAAACATTAGGGACCAAACGATACAAGATTTGAAGCCTTAGGGATTGAATTAGAATTTCCCATATCAAAATATAAATGGGGCATGTGTTATTTCTTTTTTTTGTGTCAAATCTAGATCTATTTCCTTGAATTTCTGTTTACAACCCTAATTAAATCTTGATTTTGCAAAATCAGCACCCCTTTAATGTGTAATATCTTTGGAAACCCAGAAAATGAGAGATAATCCAAATTGAAAGAAGTGCATACAAAAGAAACCATGATATTAGCATTTTGGAGGATGAAATTGAAAAAACTAAGAGTTTGATGATCAAAGTGGACACAAAAACAAAACTGCTTATGTTAATAGTTGAATTCATGGACACTAATGGATGCTGCATGGAAACATCCATTTTCACGTTGTCTTTTTCAAGAAAGAAACAAAGGAAAAAAAAAGGTTTAGAATTTTATTTTCAGGTATTTGATTTGGAGTGCATAATTTTAGTTTCTTAATAGAAGACTTCGGCCTAGATAGCTAGCTTGGACCATGTTGCATCTTATAATTTTGTTTTGGCAGCCATTTTCATAAACAATTCGTAGCTGCTCCTACCGCTTGTTCTTCCCCTTTCTCTATCATGATGTGCCCACCTCTTTCTACAACATAACGAGAATGCATCTTCATTTCTACCTCTCCTTCCTTCTCCCGCTTCTCCTTCTTCCCTCTGCCATTTCAGTTTATTTTCAACTATCTCAGTTTAACGACACCAACATGTATTATCAAGGCGATGCAGTGCCTTTTGGTGGACATATTGAATTCAACCTTGTTGATTATATAAATCGTGTTGGTTGGGCAACCTATCCTGAAAAGGTGCGGCTCTGGGACTCGAGGTCAGGGCAGCTTTCTGATTTCACATCTCATTTCTCCTTCTCCATTAATACACTTGGCGCACCCAAATATGGTCATGGAATTGCTTTCTTCCTTGCGCCTGTTGGTTTTCAAATCCCACCCAATTCTGCTGGTGGCTTCTTAGGCCTTTTCAACACGACAACCATGAAATCCCCTCAGAGTCAAATTGTTTCTGTGGAGTTTGATTCTTATCCAAATTATGGATGGGATCCAAAAGTTGGGCATGTTGGGATCAACAACAACTCTATTAGCTCAGCTTTATATACACCTTGGAATGCAAGCTTTCACAGTGGAGATACTGCTGAGGCATGGATTACCTATAATTCTACTGATCGAAATTTGAGTGTGTTTTGGGAGTACCAAACAACCTCAGATCCTCGAGAGAATTCTAGTCTGTTTTACATAATCGATCTCAGTAAGTTTTTGCCTGAGTGGATCACTGTTGGCTTCTCAGCGGCTACAGGCTCTAATGTAGAACAACAAAGACTTCTATCTTGGGAGTTTAATTCAAGTTTGAACGTTGAGGAGATGAAAGGTAATAAGAGCAGGATTATAATTGGTGTCCTTGTTTCGGTACTTGTTCTGATAGCTGGGGCGACTACAGCATTTGTGATTTTGTGGAGGAGGAAACAAATGATAACAATTGCTTGCGCCATTTTGCATTATATTAATTTTGTTTAGGCTGCAGTTTTCATACGATTCCTAGTTGCTGCTGCTGCTGCTTGTTCTTTCCCTTTCTCTATCATTATGCTCACCTCTTTGTACATCTCCTTCCTTCTACCGCTTTTTCTTCTTCCCTCTGCCGACTCAGTTTATTTTCAAATATCTCAATTTAACGAAACCAACATGTATTATCAAGGTGATGCAGTGTCTTCTGGTGGACATATTGAATTCAACCTTGTTAATTATATAAATCGTGTTGGTTGGGCAACCTATCCTGAAAGGGTGCGGCTCTGGGACTCGAGTTCAGGGCAGCTTTCTGATTTCACATCTCATTTCTCCTTCTCCATTGATACCCAAGATGCAACCAATTATGGTCATGGAATTGCTTTCTTCCTTGCTCCTGTTGGTTTTCAAATCCCACCTAATTCTGCTGGTGGCTTCTTAGGCCTATTCAACACGACAACCATGAAATTCCCTCGGAGTCAAATTGTTTCTGTGGAGTTTGATTCTTATCCAAATGATGGATGGGATCCAAACGTTGGGCATGTTGGGATAAACAACAATATTAGTTCAGCTGTATATACACCTTGGAATGCAAGCTTTCACAGTGGAGATACTGCTGAGGCATGGATTACCTATAATTCTACTGATCGAAATTTGAGTGTGTTTTGGGAGTACCAAACAACCTCAGATCCTCGAGAGAATTCTAGTCTGTTTTACATAATCGATCTCGGTAAGTTTTTGCCTGAGTGGGTCACTGTTGGCTTCTCAGCGGCTACAGGCTCTAATGTAGAACAACAAAGACTTCTATCTTGGGAGTTTAATTCAAGTTTGAACGTTGAGGAGATGAAAGGTAATAAGAGCAGGATTATAATTGGTGTCCTTGTTTCGGTACTTGTTCTGATAGCTGGGGTGACTACAGCATTTGTGATTTTATGGAGGAGGAAACAAATGATGACAAGAAAAGGAGCAGCAGACACAATGAACGTGACGTCTATTAATGAAGACCTTGAAAGAGGAGCGGGGCCAAGAAGGTTCTCTTATGATGATCTAGTTTCGGCTACAAACAACTTCTCAGACCAGAGGAAGCTAGGCGAAGGGGGGTTTGGTGCTGTTTATAGGGGATACTTGAATGATATGGACATGGAAATTGCAGTGAAGAAGATTTCAAGAAGTTCTAGACAAGGTAAGAAAGAGTACATCACTGAGGTGAAGACCATTAGCCAGTTGAGACACCGGAATCTGGTGCAGCTCTTGGGCTGGTGCCATGATAAGGGCGAGTTTATGGTGGTATATGAGTTCATGTCAAATGGCAGCCTCGATTCTCATCTCTTCGGCAAGAAGAAGATGAGTCCTCTAAGTTGGGCCGTGAGATACAAGATATCTCTTGGCCTGGCCTCGGCACTGCTTTATCTTCATGAAGAGTGGGAGCGGTGTGTTGTGCATCGAGATGTCAAGTCAAGTAACATAATGCTGGATTCTAGTTTTAATGTC